AAGAGTTTAACAATTGGTACTGAATAACTAATGACAGAAAAACTGCAGAGCTATGCTAGAGATTTCTGGGGATTCCTGCACAGCATCAGACAGGCAGACAATCTCAAGGAGAAGCAGACAACAACAAAGTCTCATTCTCCCCCATCACTGTGTGCTTTCCTCTTTATCTGCTCATGAAGAATCTAATAACCAGAGAACGTGCTGAAAAGCATATTAACAGGGTTCAACTACAGACTTGCATTGTTCAACATTTAAAATAACACCTTTATGAGTAGCAGGGGGAGGCTTTCCTGTTCTGCAACGCCTTCCCCGAATCTGTACTCTGTAGATGAGGGCCTTTCCGCAATCTGCTTATAGAACATTAACTGTAAAGTCTTCTTTCGTCCCTGGCTCTACATGCTGTAAGCACTGGCCCCAGTCCAGGAATCTCCCGCAGCCAGGTCGCTCATAAGCCCTCTTCTAACAGGCCAAGAATGCAAAAGCTCGTTCAAAGAGAAAACCTTCTGCAAGGTGTTGTTAAAGTTAGGCAGGTGGCTGGGTTAGAGCAGTTGAAGCAGCTAAATGAAACCCAACACCTGTTTGAGTAGAAGCCACAAAATTGGAAAAACAGCCAAGTAAGTTTATAGTCATTAGAATTCATCATCATGCTTTTATTGTATTTTTGCTTTTTATCTGAGGAAGGGAAAAAAAAGACTTCTTTCACTCTTTGATTATACTGGTGAATGGAGCATGTAATGGTTATCCAAGTCCAATTTTTATAAACATGTTTAAAAGATAATTAGATCAAAGTTACTCAGCACTTATGTGAATGGAAAACACAACCAAGGTGTAGAGGGACAGTCAGCTGTGAGCAGATCAGCTCTGGAGCAGACGTGAATGCTGAGTGGTGAGAAGAGGAGTGGAGATGACGGGGAAAAACACGGCCGAGGACAAAGAGATGCTTGTCTGGAGGTTTTTCTACCAGCGGCATGGCCAGGAGGGGGCCTGGAGCCACTTGTTTGAGGGAGTCCCCATGATAAATTTCCACTACTTGACTCTGTCACACAGTCTGCCACTTGAACAATAACTGAGGTCACAGCTGAGTAGTGAAGCGTTGACATCTTAGCCTAAGTGGGGAAAGGGGTCACTTTTCCTCAACACTGCCTGCTATTTCTGATCCGCCCACTTCACATCATGAGTAATGCATCTTTAGACGAGATCTGTGTAAAACATAAACTTAACAATGCACTCATTGCCTTTTAATTGCACTTATTTATTTGTGTTAATTAATCATAACTGCGAGAGTTGTGGTTATTTGCCCATACAGGATCCCTGTACAAAGCACTTTTAATACTTAACAAGTATTCAAGGACAAGACTTGGCCCCATTTGATATATCATGTAATTACATCTTTAAAATGAAGGTGATGAAAATAAGGCTAAACCTAGCTTTCAGCTGCCCTGCAGTGTATCCTGTGTTTTAAAAAAAAGAGGACTTAAATTTTGAAAAAATAAATAAATAAATAAATAAATAGCTGCAATGGGCTAATATCTGCTACCTTCATATCAGAGAATAAGAAAAGAAACTGGTTCAAAACTGCCAAAATTTACGGTTTTAGTTATTTCAACAAGAAGCCAGAGAAAATGCTTGAATGCTTGGAGATTTTGTCTGCTATCTAGAGCATAAAGTAACATAGTACTGTTGCTGTGCATTACAAGTCAGCTACAAGAAATAAGTCTACTTCTTGTTCCTTTACAGAAAAATCTGATTACTTTCAGCTAACACAAACAGGACACAGTCAGTTATACCAATGCTTAATTAATATAATATGTTGGCTTTAGCTCTAAATGTGTTATCTATTAAATTGACTTATGGTAAATCTGATTTTAGCTCCCTTAAACAAAACATACTTTATTGCCACTAAATAATCAGTTATTTTAAGGCGCAAAAGCTTATTCTTTTCTTCTTTTTTTTTAACTTTTCCATACTTCATATAATATTATGATACTAACAAGCAGATATTAGAGGGTTTATTAATCAGACTATCTGCTTTGGTAGCCGGCCTACAGTCAGGTGCTTTGCAGGCTGCGGCAGCTTGTCAGCTGTCAAGTTTGGTTATATTTTCTTGAAGTCAAAAATGTTTTCATACATCCAATTTTGACCTTTCTGTATACAAGGTACAAGTGTTCATGCATTTTTTGGCAAGCTATTTTTCTTAACAATAAGTAGTTGTGATGGGGATGCAACAATGATTTGAATGATCCAGTTCTCCAGCATCTCATTCGTAGATTTTTAGGGCAAAGGGAAAATATGAGGGAACTATCAAGCACACAGTAGACAATGTACTTGTGGCTATATTTACAACAAATGAGCCCTCTTTCTGGGTTAGTGTTACCTTGCAAACAAAGTGAATTGTAGTGCTTGTAGTGACAGTGGAGAGGAAATTGGAGTGGAGAGGAATTCCCTTTTAACAGGAAGAACCCTCCAGCAGAACCAGGCTCAGTCTGAGTGGCCATCTGCTGAGGCCGACTGGAGTTCAAGGAGACAGAAGCAAGAATGGGCAAATAACAAAACAAAAAAAACGTGATGTGTGCCTTTGTCGATGTGAACGATGGACATGTTTACAGATGTGGCACGATCAAGGTAGTTACTAGCTGAAGGGGGTAGAAAATTACTGTCTTAGGTAAAATGGAGATGGATTCTAATTTTTCAAGGACAGCAAGGACCTACTGGTCAAAGAGCAGAATTCACGAGGATTACTTAGACTTGCATTAATCAAGCACTGGACAACTTTGGGTATGATTTTGATTAAGTAATAGCATCATAACATGGTTTAAAGCTCAACAAAGTGTCATGAAGGGAGGACAGATGGACCCAGTATTCAAGGAAACTGTCAGTAGGCAAGTTCAAAACGTTTATTTAAAGAAAAACAAAACTAAAAGGGGAGCTGGTAGGATCTGTGGCACACGACAACTGCAGGTGGGGGGCGGGGCACCGCCCAATCTCAGACACTCTGGTTTAACAGTCCAGTCCAATAAAGTCCCCAGTGCTGCTGTTCCAGTGGTCTTGTAGGAAGCCGTTCCTGGTCAGGCATCCAAAACAGACAGGAACAGACAGAACAGGCCGGATCCAGTCCTTCAGGCCTCGTAGAGCTCCCAGGCAGGTTCAGAGTCCTGCAAAGTCCGAAGCGTGATGAGCCGGTCACGCATAGAAGCAGACAGGATGAGGTGCAGACGGGGAGGCTCAGTGGAAGAGGGTAGCAGAGACAGGACGTGGAACCAGAACTTAATGCAAGACCTTTAAACTGGTCTCCTCCTTGGAGCCAGGCTTACTGGGATAAAAACTGAACCTCCCCACGTATAGAGCCAAAAACCCAGAGGAATCAGCAGGGGAGGAACAGTGGACGATTAGGAGACGACACAGACACAAAAACCTCTTTCCACTGGCCGCCAGGATCCAAAACATGAACCAAGGAATCAAAATAACAGACAGGCTAACAGAAAGACAAATAATGATCTGGCCCTGAATGCTCAGGCTGAACAGAATATAAACCAGGGGAAACAGGTGAGAGGAATAAATGATAATTGAGGCAGGGAGGGAAAACGACAGGTGAAATAAATAATCAATTAAGGGGGAGCAAACAGGCCAGATCATGACACAAAGTTGATTTTGCATCCTAAATGGCCTTTTAACAAAAAAGATCAGTGTCACAAACTTCTGACAGCTGTTTTTTTTTTTTTTTTTTTTTTTTTTGCAAAACAGCATTAGTGGCATAGTAGTCTCCATAATTTGTAGCAGCTGCTGCAACAAGCCATCTGAGGTATGGAACTGCAGATAGAGATGTATGCACTTTAACTGTAAAGTCAGGGGCACAATACAGAACCTCAAGGTTTAGAGGCCTTTTTGACAGAGTTTGAATCAGTGACAATTTAAAATAGATATATCAAAACAAAAACAACAGAAAGAGAAGAAAACTTTAAAGCAAAAACCTTTTTGTGTCAATTAGATGTTTTTGTTCCATCTTAGCTGCTCTCATGTTCAGAGGTTGCCAACGCAAGACTTTACAAATTGCTCACAGAAATTTGCAGGATGCCCCTCGTGATACAACGAGGATTCAAAACTGCATCCCCTGCATCAAAGTCAGAGTTAAATCCTTTCACCAAGGGTATATTTGAGGTGTTGTTCGAATAGGAAAACAATAGAGATTTAGAATAATATTTAGAGCCTTCAAAAAAACAGTAAAGAACATATTTATACTACATTGCCTCTCAAAATATAAACACCCCTTTAACATTTGGATGTTTTCCATTTATCCATCCACAGTCTATACACTGTTATCCTTGCAGGCTTGCAGGTGAGCTGGTGCCTATCTCTAGCATTCATTGGGACAAACACCACGAATGGAAAACATTTTTATCACAAAAAATGTTGTTGCTGGTCTTTTAAATATAAAAGGCTCCATGACATTAAAATACTGTATACTGTGTTCTGCAAAATGCAAATGTATGGTGTAAGTAAAGGTTGTGACTTCAGAGTGGGAAGTTGAGGCCACAGAACATAATTTTCCAAAAACTAGACTCCAGCTCTGCTATCAGCGTTTCCAGTGTGAGTTCTAGATCTATTGACGCTCAAAGTAGGAAGCTGCAAAGTCATTTTTTTTCTGTCTGACCCTGCAGCAGACAAATGTCTACACCATCCAGCCATTACTTTCTCTATAAGGTTTGTATATCTGAAATAATTGGGGGAGTGTTAAGTGCTACACAGAAAGATCAAACTAGGAGTTTTGTGAAATTCCAAAAACAAGTGTTTTAGACCCCTCTGTCTTATCTTTATGGGCCTTTCTCATGCAAACCTGTTCTTGGGACTTGCTGCTCACTCCTCTCCAAAAGAGCTGTGGTGGTGGGTGCATACTTCGTGAGTAATGTTGTGGAGGGGTGAGGGGTGTACTCATACCATTTCACCTCTCTCTCTCTCCCTCTCTCTCTCTCTCTTCACCGTCCAAACTCGCTCAGAGCAAACTTTTCCCAAAGACTTTTTCAGCTCCTGCCTCAGGAGCGAAGACACGAGAAAAACTCCAGACAGAAACAAAACAAACTCAGAGGCGGGGTGCGTGAAGAGGCGGGATGGTGCTCCAGCCGAGCTGCACATGTGAGCCCAGAGGCCACCGGTAGCGCTTCTTTTTATTCTTAATTCAGAGGGTAGGGAGAAAGAGGAGCGGACGCACTAACACAGAGAGGAAGAGAAAGAGAGAAACTATTTTTCCCCCCTGCTGCCACAAGTGTCCTGTCACCTTGGGGAGATGTTCTTTTCGCCGGTGTTCTGCTGGGTCCTCCTGGGCGGTCTGCTGCGAACAGTGGCACCCTGGGGCGCAGGGCGCACGGGCAGACCAAGGCAATGCGACCCACCAAAGTCGGTGAGTTTTAATGGGACACTTTATTACGCAGAAGCACGTTAAATAATCTGTGGCACATTTCAGATTTGTAGACTCCTGTTTCCCTTTCTGTTGCATTTTGACTGCTTGGAGAATTTAAAACCTAAAGTTAATTTTGGAGAACATTGCTTGAAGCAATAATAAATTAAGTTCAATAAACAAACATACAAGTTTAGAGCTTTTAATATCTAAACAAACTTTAGGGCTTTTAAAAAAAAGTTGAATTAGACTATATGTTTAACTCGATATTATTATTCCTCTTTACTTCTTAAAATAATAATTCAAGAATAATGATAATAGTAATAATAATAATAATAATAATAATTTTTTTTATTATTATAATAATAAGAAGAAGAAAAAGAAAAAACATGTACAAATATAACAAACTTTCATCCCAAAATCAAAATCTGTCAGCCTTTAGCGGGTTTGGCTAAATAAATTTTACGCGCTCGCCAATTTTATGGGCTGTTCATGTAACAAGGTGGGGGAACACCCACCTTGGTTGACTTGATTTCTTTTGCAAAAGGTCATTGACCTTTCCAAAGTGAGCCTAGATCAGCCTATGGTAGGTCTTATTAAAATATTTCAAGGTTATTATTAGGGGAAAATCATTTTAGTTTCTGCGCGCACAGGTGCCCAAATCAAATCACTTTTGACAGGAGGAAAAACAAAATGCGTCGCTTCAGAAACAGGTGGATGACGCTTCAAAATCCCAGTATTTGCATTGCCATTATTATCATTATGTCATTATATCATTACCTCTTGAAATGGTTTTGTTTTCCGAGTTCAGGATGAAGACTTGGTGTGATTTGTATGCGTCAGTACAGTGGTCTCTGTTTTGCATTAGGAGTAATTACCCTCATAAAAAAAGGAGCACCGCGCATCAAGGCTCTCCAGAAAGTCAGCGCTGCCTCAGCAGAGGGGATCTCGCCTCCAGTCGCTTACAAGTCAAGCGGGGCCAAAATCCCGATGCCAAAAAATCCTCTAAACCCTTTAAGGCGTAAGGAAGTGATAATTTTACAAAATGATCAGCGGGGGGAGCTTAGTGGTTAGGGCATAGAGCTTGGAATCCTGAGGTTGTGAGTTTGAAACCCACTCCCACAGACTGCCACTCTGGGTCTCCCACCCTGACCCAAAATAAGGGCTTTTATATTTATCTAAAATATCAACATTTTCCCTTGTTTAGAAATATTAGAAACATTAGAAACCATGTGTCACACGTTTAAAAGCTAAATTAGATTGTTTTTCACCTGTTAACAATTCGATATATAACATTATAAACATACTTTGTAACTGCTCTATTTAACTCTGATATCCGCCCTAATATTTGGCAAGGTTTTTGCCTGTTTTTAAAGTGGTTTTCTAATGATTAATTCTTGGAAGACCGAAGTGCTCAACAGGGTCGATCTGAGATATAGGCAGCTTTAGCAGTACTTGTCTGGGAGGCAATACGCATGCCAGAGACAACTTAGTGTAACAAGAGTCAAATGTAAGGTAATTAAATCATTTAAACTCCATATGACTGAGCTAAAAGAATATGTACGCAGACAACTGCTGTTGAAAAAAAGCAAGCAAGGGAGAGCCTTTTTGCAGTCACACTTGGCATATAGACAGTCATATTCAGTAACGTTTATGTACTCGAGGGCTTTCTTCTGATTAAAAGGATCTATTGTACATAAATGCTTGGCATTAAGATTAAGCTACAGTATTAAAGTATTCAGCGCATCATCCTTGTAGTTAACAAACATGCTTTAGATGCAGTACAACTACCAGATAATATGTGTGCACTAGTGCTTTGCCAATTAGGGACTTAAAAAATACTTTTTTTTTTATTTCAATTCTTTATAGATAACTTAAAACCAAGTAGTGGATATTTGTGAAGTAGAACGGAAAGGGTATTAGGGTTTATTTTGTTTTTCGGCTATAAATATATGAAAATACATATATTCAGTTTGCTTAAATTCATCCATCCATCCATTTTCAGAGGTCACCAAGGATACGCTATATAAAAGGGAGGTTAGTGTTGCTGTGGGATTTAGAAATCAGCCCCACTTATCAGAAATATGATGAGCTGAGAAAGTACTGTACAAATCCACCCAATATATATGAAAAAAAGCCAAGCTAAAAATCTACTCTGCTTAAATAGCTCAGCTTATCTGTGAAGACTTCAAACCAATGTTATGAAATCATCCAGACCATAGCAGTTCTGTTTAGTTTGCCCTTGCAGGAGGCTGCCAGGAAAAATACTGGATGCTCATTGCGATTAATTAAAGAGAACATCCCAGAAGAAGACTTTACTCATTTTGGCTGCTATTTAAAATTTTAAAGACATACTTGGCAATGTGCAATATGGCTGGAGAGCAGACAAGGGAAATCTTCTTGATTTAATTGTAGAAGTAAACATTTTCTAGGAATAACTTTATTTAAAGTAATGGGTTTCATCCCCTCAGCTGCCTGATTACACTGTGTTTCAGTGGCCAGGAGTTTGAACTTGTTTAGACAAGCAAATCCTTTTTTCATATTTGAATAATGCCAACATCAAAGTCATAGCACATGCACAGCACATTGGCTGAGCTCTTAATAAGAAACACATTTAAAACGTAACACGGTCTGATGTTCATTTTAAATGACTATGATTATTTAATTTCCATTGTGACATTGTTTTTATGAATATAAACATAACAGACAAATGCTTCCTGTTATGGAAACCACAGAAAAACACAATGCCGTGTTTAGGACTGTCAGCGTTGCATCTCCGTCTTGTGGTGAGCAGAAAAACATAGCAAACAATAGTATCACAGTGAGGTCAAAATGGATAGGAAATTTTATTTCAGGTTTTTGTTTCTTGGAGCATCAACCTTGTACTAAATTTGCACTGTTGCTCTGAAAATGCTACATAGGCTATAAGGAGGCTTTGGCAACAGACATATATACCTCAGCATTACCAGAGGGTCTGTTTACAGGCCAGAAAGCCTCACGATAAACTCCTTTAACCCCAGCATGACTCGACCTTATATTTCCCTTTTAGTGTATGTAAAAGTGCTTTTTGTTTTTCATTTTTACCTTTTTGTTCTGAGCGCAGAGAAAAAAAAATGCTTCAGCTGTATTTTTTATGTAAGCTTAACTCCTCTAAAGTGACACTTTTGGTTTTCCTCTTCCACAGCAAAGCGAGCTGAACTCATTTCTGTGGAGAGTAAACCGCACACCTCCTCAACCACCCTCTTACTTGTTTGGTACTATCCACGTTCCCTACACCCGAGTCTGGGACTTCATCCCCAATAGCTCCAAGCAAGCCTTCCAACAAAGCAGTAGTGTATTCTTTGAACTGGACCTCACGGATCCTCTGACTTTATCCAAGCTTACCAGCTGCCAGCTGCTTCCCCATGGAGAAAACCTGCAGACCCTTCTGCCTCGAGACCTGTACCGTCGACTGAAGCGCCACCTGGACTATATTAAACATATGATGCCCTACTGGATGACGGCGGATCAGAGAGGCCGTGGCCTTTACGCCGACTATCTTTTTAATGCTATTGCAGGGAACTGGGAGAGGAAGAGGCCCGTATGGGTGATGCTGATGGTAAACTCGTTGACAGAGTGGGACATCCGGTCCAGAGGAACTCCAGTGCTGGACTTATTTTTGGCTCAAGAGGCAGAACGAATGGGGAAGACGACAGGCGCGGTAGAGCGGGTTGAAGAGCAGTGTCATCCTCTTAATGGGCTCAATTTCTCTCAGGTAAGAGCGATGAAAGGATGATCTTTCCTGTTGCTTTTACTGTTTTGTTTTTGATTTGAGACAGCTGGAACATTTGGAGAACTGGAGTCAAATATTTCTTTCTGTCTCCGTCATAACTCTGTGTATAGTTAAGTACCTCTGAAGCAGAATGAGGCTGGGCTTTATAGTCGATCATAAAAGTTTAGTGTATATGCACAGATTTCAAAAGACTGAGTGAGAAAGAGGGAGAGGACAATTTGAGATGCATAAGCACTAAAATGTGTATATATGGAGACAGCTTTAGGGTTATGGACGCCTTTCCACCTCACCACACAAACACACTCAGCAGGTTAATCTGCAGAAAAAGGTATCATTGTGAGTGGTGTATAAGAGAACAGATCAGCAAAGTTCAGGACGGCATGTAGCTCTCTATTCCTTGACTATAGATTTTTTTTTTTTGTCTTTGCCAAATTATTAGACTTGTACTGTAACTTGACACTGAAATATAAATGAAGCATTAATGGGCTGATAAGTAAAACAAGACAACTAAAGCTTAGTTTTTTATACAATAGAGAAGGAAGAAATGTATCTATTTGAAAACTCATTCAAGCTGATAAAAAACCCAGCAATGGGGCTGAGCAGCAAGGAGATGCTCTTCACTGCAAATATTGCAAAGAGCTCAAGCCGTGCAGAGACCAGAGACTCCATGCAGGCATGTTTACCGTGGGCTGCAGTAGTCTGTGGGGGGCTAAAAGTCCATGTGACAGCACAGATTGGTTCACAGCTAAATTGAGCGGCAGTGCCTTTTGAGCCTCTCCTCTTTCATTAGTACTTTCTAACTACACTGTCAAAATGGCACTGCATGCACTGCAAATGCCTGGGAACTTTGATGGCCCTGGAAACAAGCAGCTGCAAGGAGAACCGTTTTTCAGTGATGATGAGGGCAAAGGCTACCACCTCTGTGTGTGCTGAGCAGTCATCTGTTTTATGCTGTACACATGCCATTCCCTTAATGTGCAGAGGATTTCTAGTGTTACATCACACCTTTTCCCTGAAATGTCAACAAACCAAAAAGAAGGACAAAAAGCTATCAAACTCTTACAGATTTTATCTTTATAATTAAACTGCAAAATATTGTTAAAAAACATAAACATACATTTAGTTATTGTATAACAATGCAAAAAGAGAATAAACATTTTGTTGCTTATAATGCAGTAACATTTTCCTTCTAATCAAGTGTGCACTGGCATTGTTAACAAGGGATACATCAGCAGTTAAAAAAGAGAAAAAACTGCACAGCTCTTATGTCAACTTCAAAAAGCATTATGTTGTCCATGTAAAATAGAATCATTTATTTAACTTCCAATTTACAGTATGTTTGTTTTTTTACACAGCTTTGGCTTTATTTCTGCTCTTGGCGGCTTGTTCTTTCAGCAAATGGCATGTTTTACGGCCTATATATTCCACTTAATGGTTTTTTAGTTACTAAAGAAGTTTACAATTATTTCAATGATCGATTTATTATGACTAATGTGAATACATTCAATTGCTGTGTTATTTTATTTTAGTATTGTTTTTATTCACAATTATGTAACACTTCATACTGATCCAAAAAAAAGATCAAACAGTATGACTATCTTTGCAAGGCACCATAAATGTAGGACATATAAGCTGCATTCAGTTTTAATGTGCAACATTTTTATATAACTGACATGGCAGGTGTTCAAATCCAGACTTTACTGGCAATTAAAAAGATGACTAACATGATATCCACCCAACCTGTGCACATGCAGCTCCTAACTCCTAAGCCTAGACCTTTTTTTCTCTATAGAGGTACAAGAAGCACACAGAGCTGTACGGAAACTGATATGGAAACCATTATTGCAATTTACAATAATATGTGGTTTAATCTGGAAATCATGCTTGATTGGATCCTTTTACGCTTGACTGTAACTAAGATGAGGTCAGGAGAATGGATAGACCTCGGTCAAAAGGGAAACTGTGTGGGTGTGAACTAAAGAAAAAGTAAAGCACCGAGAAAGAGTGAAAGACCCACTTTTTAGTGATAGAATGTTATTTGAAACAGTGGTTAGATGGGGACTGGGATACTGGAATGCATAATTTCACTACTAATAGTGATTACTAGGAAAGGAAGAACTGAAATTACAAAACTTCCAAACCTCAGGGTTCACGTGTTTTTGATCTTATTGAAACAGCTGAATTGTGTAGATTTTAAAAGTTTTTACAAAAAGTGAACTAATTTTCCACACAATGGGTTCCTCACCAGCACCTGCTGGTCCTATACAATGTTCAACACAGTTTTTTTTGTTTTTTTTGTTTTTTATATCATGACTCCCGACTTTTTTAGTCTCTCCTTTTTTAAAGTCGGATGGACGGATCTAGCTTTTAAAGAAGGTGATAAATAATAGTTTGAATTTACAACTAAGTATTCATGCTTTATTTTCTTTTGTATTTTTCCAAATCTGAAAAATCATGAAAAAAATCTACTTATCAGACTAGTAATTTCTTTTAATTATTTTCGTTTAATTTTCATGTTTTTGAGCATCATAACAAAATTCGGTAAATACAGTGCATTTTTTTACTTTTGTGCTAAAAAAAGGAGATGTAGGAGGTTAAATACTTCTCCATTCAAGATGTAAACATATTTTTGCTTTTGTAGAACTGTATCCTTTTATGTCATATGTAAAAATGAAAAAGAAAAGAAAAGCATTTAAATTCTAAAAGTGTGAGTTTTTCATCATGAAGCTGTGAATGAACAGTTGTAAAACATAGAAGATCTTAGTGGTCTCTTTAGAACATAAAGAGGTGTGAATATATCTGTAAGAAGCAGTTTAGAGGCTGTGGAAATAAAGGCAGGCCATGGCGCATGGTTCTTCTCTAGCTTTTTGAGGGCTGATGCAGCTTGACAGGTGGGCAGGACAGCGAGGAGCAAATGCTTTGAGTGCAGATTGGAAAAGGCTGGAGAAAGTTAAGTCAGTTCAAAGAGTGCAAGCTGTATATTGGTATCCCTGCAAAGGCTTCTTTTTTCCCACAAGGGTGGGTCATTTAAGTTCCATCAGCATTTATTAACTATATGCATCCGTCAAATGTCTCATAATTGCATCAAAGGCAAAACACTTCTCTTTGATCAAATCTCCAACAGCTTGAAAACATTCCTTTTAATAATCCCAGCTGTCTTAAAATACCAATCGAGTTATGTAATTGTGATGCGCAGTACCACATTCTAATGAATCGTTTTTACTGTGATACTCAGCTTACAGAATGTCAGTAAGAAATGTCTCTAATTTTGGGAAAGCATCATTGCAGATCTGGCTTGTGAGCTTCTTTCTCTTCCGCCGAGCAAACACATATTTATTTTCCCAGGGTCACATTTCAGCTGAGGCCAGTAGCCCATGTCGAGGAGAAATTACATCATATTGGTGGCGCCTTTCTCCTGGGCAGGGGTCATAGGTCATGGTAGGAGGTGGTGGTGGAGTCACAAGCAGTGAAGCAGTAAGGAGACTGGCAGTCTCCTGGGGTTAAGTCTGGGCACCGCTGAGCTGGCCCATAATACCTCTACCCAGCTAGGTTTCGAACCAAGCTGAGTTTCCATCAGCTGCTTTTTATGGGGACATGTGAAAGAATCATTTGTCACTTAATAGCTGAAACTTAAATAGGGTTAAAGGTTTGGAGAATGCTAGGTGATAGAATCTCTGGTCTCTTCTTGGTCTCAATCCATTTTTGTTTAACAATGCTTCTTTAAGTGTACTACCTTCCTGATTAGACTGGATTATCCTACAACAACAAAAAAAAAAAACATACAAAATATGGTTACAAGATGCAGAGACGGAGAAGCAGAGATGGTTTCTTTCAGATTTAATGAAGATGTTGATAGCAAAGAAGCAAATAATCCAGAAACAACAGGCAAGCAACTTGGGAATCAAAAACTGTGAGACGCTCAGAGAAACTAACATAAGAAATAAAGCAATGAGGATAATCCAGCAAAGAGGAGCTGCACAGGAGACGTATATATGGGAGACAGAACAAATAATGGTCTTATCAGCTGATTGGGAGCAGGTTTGGATAGGAGTAACTAGAAGGGAACTAGTGGAAAGGAGACTGCCACAGGGGGGGCAACAGAGAGTAACTCAAAAAATACAACACTGCTTAAAGGGGTCATAGAATGATTATATAGGGTATTGGTGCTGCTCCTTAAGGTCTCTGAATAGGGTGTGTAACATTGGATGGGCTAAAAAAAATAATGAGCCCTAATGCAAGCCTGGTTAAAGGCCCTAGAATGAAGCGACAGATTTTCTTTCTTCTATGGTATGCTCATGAATATATAGATGAGCTGTGCGCTGATTGGTTGGTTTACAGTAGTGTTGCGCCGATGCCATTTTTTGGCCCCGATACCCGATACCTGGCTGTGCAGTATCGGCCGATACCGATACCATAATAATGTAAAATAATTGCCATCATGGCTTTGTCAAGCTGCTGCCTACCTTTGTGAAGCAGGAAAAAATCTAATACAAAGTGAATCCAGTAGAACTTTTTATTGCCTACCAGGAGTGGGTGACAATAGTTGAATAAACTTATGGCTCTCAAAATGGTATCGGTGCCCTATTTGTTGGTACTCGCCGATACCACCATTTTAGGGCAGTATCGGTACCCCGTCCGATACCGGTATCGGTATCGGGGTAACACTAGTTTACAGCAAGCAAAGCTGCTGAGCAAAGACGCATCATAGCAACAAGCACTCACTCACTAAAACATCAAAATGTTGATATGTGTAGGGTGACCAGACGTCCTCCTTTTCCCGGACATGTCCTACTTTTCATACCTAAAAAAATGTCCAGAGGAATTTCAAAATGGAATTTGGTCGACTACAGTGCAGCACATAGTCGAAACACTCCGATCATTTGAACCAAGCCATCAGCTCTGGGGCTGGTCCGGGAAACCCGGCGGACAGGGGTAGGGAGCCAGCAGGGGATGGAGTGACTGAAACCAACCTGTTGACGGTA